AAACATTTTCTACTATGTTAATTTGCATTCTTGTCACTATTACCCGTGGAAAATATACTCTCATTAGAGTAAGGGAAAAACCACTTGTACAGAAAATTTCAGAATCCCTTCAGAAGAGACACATTAAGTCAACCCCACACAGGACTCAAGGATTATAAAAAATTGCCAAAAAAAAAAAAATGCCAACCTTCCGCCTTGTGTGTTGTCTATAAGACTTCTGTGAAGCCCCGTTCTATACACGTAACAGGGTTCTTAGTATAACTAGTTTTTACAAGGACACTCGGAAAGTACTCTCAAATTCTTAGCTTGGGAATATACAAATATTGAAATTTATATTATTTAGTTTTCCTTCATTTTATTCGAATCTACTCCGCACATGCACTAATGATTTGTTTGGCAAAGTGGACCTAACAAAATGAAGCTAAAATTTTGTATATTATTGCATCAAACGTGCAATAATCTTGTTTATTAGGTGCACACATGTGAGATGATTTCACACAACTCTAATTGAAGCTTAATCATAATCTGGTACAAGTGGAAATCTTATTGCTTGACGAAATCTAATCCATCCACAAATTCGTTGTTCTCCAACTCTAAGAAGAAGAAGAAATCGTAACATATTTCAGCTGTACTTCCAGGAAAACAAAAAAGTATCGATTCATGTCATCGATGACAGAACAGACATAGTTTGCAATTCATCATTATTCGCCTAGAAAAAGAGGATATGTAAAGAACAAAAACAAATCCTTAAAAAACGTGCTGAAAGGTTGAGTTCCCACTTGGACACTCGTTCAATGGAATCCATCTTCTTATTCCTTCTTTCCAATCCCATGAGACATGTTATAGATCCCTCTCCCCTGGAGAACATTCATCAGGTACAATCAGTGTCAAACTCAACCGTGGATGAAAAAGGCAAAAACGATTAAAAGAGTAAAAAGGAGCTCACAATTAGAAATAGTGAACTACCAGCCAAAGCCAGAGGAATTGTGATGTAGAATAATCCAGTAAACATAATAAGAAGAGAAGAGAGAAGAGAGGGGAAGAAGAAGGCAGAGGCGGGGAGAGAGGAGAAACGGCTGAAGCCAACTCTTTTATTTCATCAAATTCATTAACTCAAATAACAATGTAAGATAGGTTTAAATACTGGAAAAATAATGCAAACCTAGGGCCAAGCCCAATACAAAAGTCCATGAAATTAAAATAACCTAAGTTCCAACTAAAATAATTAAAATTGCTAAAATTAATTAAAATTGGATGTCCTCATCAATTCTCCCGGGGTGGGAGAGAAAACTCGACCCTGTCGAGTGGCTATATCACCATGGCATCTGTCAATCTCCCAACCATAAGCTGAGTGGCTGGGCAAGCTTCTTCCTGCGTCTGTAGAAATGCGTCAGTGGCGGTCTGAACCTGGTGTCTTCACCAACTCCCCTCGGGTGAACGGGAGGCGATCTAGGCCAAGGAAGATCCTGCTGACTCCGATAAAGCTCTAGCAAATCTGGATCCAAATGCTGTAGTGTCTCCCTGGAGATCCATGCACAATCAGAATCTGGTCGACCAACCCAACGAACAAGGAAGCGCTGAACCTCTCCATCATTAGTGAACACAGTTTCTTCATCTAAAATAGCATCAATTTTATCTGTGTGTGCTGTGAGAGGTGGTAGTGGGTTAGTGGGGGCCAAAGAATTAGGATCAAGGTCCACAAAAGGAGGTAACAGGGGATCATCTGAGGGAATGAAACGGCCTCTATAAGCGACAAGGTCTTCAACATTGAAAGTATGATGGTAACCAATGTGGGATGGAATGTCAACAATATATGCATTTGGACCAACTTGCTTTAAAATTTTAAAAGGACCAGCACTACGAGCTTGCAATTTGGAGGCGGGTCCATGTAGACGCCGCTCTGACCTAATGCGAACCATAACGTAATCCCCAACATTAAACTCAAT